CTTTAACTATACTATAAGCCTTGTGAGGGCAGGGATCATGGGATACACTTGTATATTCTCAGTAGATCTTAATATGAGATTGGTACAGAGTATTGCCTAAATAAATATTTTGTTGACTAACTGGTTTACTAAGTATGCATAAAATGTTACCAAAACATACCAGGATAATTGTAGAGAATTATAGTTTGTCACAATAATTCTAGCCTTGAAAAGCACATCAAAAGTTTATGTGTTATGATATGAATCAATAGTGTGGTAGGGAGACCATAAAGTTAACATGGTTTTAAGTTAAATGAACAAAAATATAATGTAAGCCACAAAGACTATTCTGCTTTGGCTAGACAATATCTGGAGTATTGTGTTTACCTGTGGATTATAGGGAGAACATTGGCAATGTAGAATATGTACAGAAAGGTGTGACCAGAATGATGAGAAGATTTGAAAGCCTGGAGAAGACTTGGGGGCAGGAGGAGAGATGATCCTGCCTTCAAATATCTGAGGGGATGAAAATGGATTAGGTTTATTCTCTACACCTTCTAAAGTTAGAACTACAGGAATTTCACAAAGGAAAAGTATTTTTAAAGACTAAACCTTTCTGACAGTGTTTCCACTTTTGATTCCCAAAAGAGCATCCTGAGGAAGTAATGAATTTCCCATTACTGTAACTTTTGAGTGGAACTAAGATGACCACTTTGTTGGAGATTCACACTCCTAATAGGAGTTAAATGAGTTGAACTCTGAAGCATCTTCAAATGAGAAAATCTACTGATTGTAAGAAAATATGAAACCATATTGCTAATCACTTTTGTGTACCTGCTAGAGCAGATTGCAAAACCAATCCTTGGTTATCTATAATTTACAATACTTCACATTTATATGTGCTTCAAGGTATGCAAAGTGCTTTGGATAAGTTTCTCATTTGAACCTTACAAATAAAAGTGAAAATTGAGGCTTAGTCAAGTTAAGTGACATGTCCAGAGTCACACAGCTAGTAAACTGAGATTAGGATTCAATCTCAGGCCATATTGATTCCAAGTTCAGTGCTCTATCTGCTGTACCACCTAACTGCCTTGCTCCATGTTAATAAAAGAGATGGAATAGAGCTATGCCAAACAAAATCCAATAATCATATATTAACTTTTGAATATATTTCTCTTTATATTTAGATGTCAATATTTATCATATTCCTTCATACTGCTTCAAATCTGACCAGCATCTCTAAAATTTTGTATTGTTCCTAGCCCAAAAGAGATAGTGCTGCTCATGATGATAAAAAAAAGGGTAACCTGAAGTGAATCTATGTAGTTTAGAAATCAGTTTTCCTGGTCCATAAGAGGTAATGAAGGGAAACTCACCTGTTGGGTTGCACACCCTAAAGAGGTGAAAAATGTAAAGTGATATCAAACTGCTACAACATGGGGCTTAATCATTAATCAATGTAGTATAATGGATAGAATACTAGATTTAAAGTTAGAAAATCCCTAGTTCCAAACTAACTTCTGATATTTAAGACACTGTGTAATCATGGGTAAGTCACTAAACTATTTGATTTTTGGTTTATCATCTATAAAATAGGTGTCATAATAGCTGTTACACCTACCTTATACTATAACTGTAACACTGAAAATTTTAAAGCACTATATAAATGTTAGTTATGATGATAATCATATCACAAAGAAAATAAAAGCAAAATGTCTTGTTGGTGATTTACCTGAAAACATCTATAATAATGTTTTTGCTCTAATAGTATACTTTTGTTTCTAAACTGTAAGATCAAGTGCTACATACTATTTAAGCTTCTTTTACAGTGCGTATGATGCCTATGACAACGCTCTTACATGAGAGTTTGCAATAACAACAGCTTTATCAATAAAGGACTTTGAAGATTTGCAAAACACTTCATATATTTCAGGCAATTTGATACTCACAGGATCCCTGTGGTGTAGGTACTACAAATATATACTCATTTTATTAATGCAAAAACTGAGACTCAAAGAGGTTGTGACTTGTCTAGGGATATATGCATAATGCCAGAATTAGAACTCAGGTCATCTGACTCAAAGTCCAGGGATCTTTATACAATATCAAACTGCCTGTAGTCATGAAAGTGCCACATTGGCTATGACTCTTAGCAAGTTGTAAATGCCCAGCCTTGGTTTCCTCATAATAGACCACACCTCATAGAGTTGTTGTGAGGATAAAATGAGAAAAAAAAAATTATATCTATGTATCTCTCTCTCTATATATAAATATATGTGTGTGTACACACACACACACACACACACACACACACACACACACACACACGTATTATATTTTCCAAACCCCAGAGAACTATGTAAATGCTAACTATTATTATGATACCCATGAGACTTAAGTGAAAAAAACTCAGTGAATCAGACATTTATATCTGGAAGGGACCTTGGAGGCCATTACATGCATTATTTTCATTTTACCAATAAGGAAACTAAGGCACAAAGAGCTTAAGTGATTTGGATGTGGTCACATGGCAAAAAGAAAAGATTTGCATCTAGGTCTTCCTAAGTCTATATCCAACACCCTATCCATTTTCCCACACTGCCCGTCCAAGCCTTGGCTTCATTTATCAAATGGAAATATAAATACTTGTAATATCTACCTTATAGAATAACTGTGGGAAAGGTATCTTACAAACAATAATATGTTGGATTAAGGTATTATAAATAACTCTTAAAGTGCTATTGAATTCTGAAAGCTAACTTTATCAATATCTATATGGTTTTAATTTTGGTTACTTGTGTGTTTTCCTACAGACTTGTGTGTTTTCCTACAGACTTCCCCATTTGGGGTTTTCTTGGCAAAGGTACAGGAGTGGTTTGCCATTTCCTTCTCCATCTCATTTTACAGATCAGGAACTGAAGCAAACAGGTTTAAATGATTTGCCCAGGGTCACACAGTTAGTAAGTGTCTGGGGTCACATTTGAATTCAAGTCCTCCTGACTCCAGAGCCAATGCTCTGTCCACTGCACCACCTAGCTGCTCCTTTCTTTGGTATAGGAATTCCTAGTGAGTAAATTTCCATCAAAGCAATTCAGTAACTGTTCCACAACTTATAGTCTCAGATAGATTTGAATGGAATACAGAGAGGTCAAAAGATCTGCCAATAGTCACACAGCCATTAAGCGTCTGATGCAGGACTTGAAACTGACTTTCTGTCTCTGAAAGTCATGCTCTATCCATTACATCCCTTTTGCCTCTCTCATACAACAAACACATGTTCATTCATTCACTCATTTACTCTACAAGTATTTATTATATGCTTACTAATTGCAAAACACTCTTCTAAGTACTGAGACAGATAAAAATACAATATAGATACAAAAGATCTCTTTTTCAGAAGCTTACAGTAGGGTAAGAGGATAAGACAAACAAATAATACAAAGAGAATGTAATAAATGTATATGAAAAGTACAGAGAGCTTTGAGAATTCAAATAAGTGAAAGATGAAAAGAATCAGGAAAAGCTTTGTGGAAGACATGGCATTTGCACTGGATCTTGAAGAATGGGCAGGATTTCAACAATAAGAGATGGGGTAAAGGATTGTATGTGTAAAGAATTGTGTGAGCAAAGGGGCAGAGAATGAATGAGGTACTTTCACAGATGAGCAAAACTATTTGGACTGAAACACTTTGAAATAAAATATTATAATACCCTTTCTCTATGTGAAAAATTACAGTCTTATGAGATGTTAACAAATTTGCTCAAATTTAAGAAATCACAAGGAAGATGAGAATTAGAGTGTAGTAGTTTTCATATTCTTATGATTCTTGTGACAACTACTATATCCCAAATTATGGCTAATTGTGCCTGATAAAGCCAATAATGAGATTTAATATAAATCCTGCCAATAATTAAAATGTTTACTATAGCTAAATGTTAACAAATTGATACAATATTTCTATTGTATGTAATATCTCATTAAGCAAAATGTTTCATGACACCTTACTAGAATATTAGAATATTTCTAAAACCTTGACCAGAAAAAGTCCCAGTTATTTTTTCACATAATTCTACTAAAATTATACTTACATAACAATGTATCCTCTAAATTAAGAAAGTGGAAGCATATCTCATTTTTGTTTAAATTAACAAGAAGGATCTCATATGCAAATTTACTATCTTTTAATTAAAGACCAATATTGTGAGTAAAAGATGATTTTTATGCTTTCCTAATAAAATTTTATTGGATTTAATTAATGAGGCATGGTAAGGTTGGAAGATATGTGTGTACACATACATATATATATACACACACACACACACACACACACATATATAATAGATACATATATATATAAGTATGTGCACAGGGTATCTCAAAAGTCATAGTGCAGTTTTAAGTTTAATAATTTTCAAAGTACAAAAGCTAGAAACTTACAAACATCAAAATTTGAAAGGTTAATTAAATTTTTCAAAAATATATTGACGTTTCTTATTAAAATTAAATATAACCACATCAGTCTACTCAATTTTCAGACTTTCTATAACTTTTATCAGCTGTTGCTCAGTGACTGAAGCTTTAAATTATCCAAAGAATGATATTTTTATGTGTTATTGAGAGCTTTGACATTACCCCAAAAAACTCTAATAGATATAGATCAGGTAACCAAAGTAGTTAAGCAAAAGGACCTCCTCTCTGATCAAAAAAAGTGTCAGCCAGAAACTGTTGCATAAGGGAAGGGTGGCCTGTGTTGTTGAAATGAAAATTTTTAAAATATTATTTAAAATTCACAAAAGAAATTTAAATAAACTTTCAAATGATATTTTGTTTGTGGCACTCATAATTTTACAGCTTTTAAGGCTTAAAACTATATTAAGACTTTTCGGTCACCTTGTATATAAGAAATTTTGTTTTGAATATGAAAAATTATAGGTTTAGGTTTAAAACATTTTTCAATATGAAGCAACTAGTTGAAAAAAGTATTTTTAAATTGTGTTTAATGTTATTTTATTAGATTTACCTATCTCTCTCTGGAGAATAATGGTCATCCAGGACACGATGCCTGTCCATTCGGCTGATAGTATTATAATGTCCACTAGAAGGCCGTGTCCCTCGAAGTCCCTGTTCCACAGTTCGACTGAAAGAGACAAAAAGCATCAATTACCATCTGTATCTGTGAACCATATTCATAAACTACATTGTAAAATTTTCTTTTGTAGTAGAGAAATTAGGGAAAAACAACAACAGCAAGTATAATCTTGCTGCTGTTTGTCTTTTGTTCTCGAAGAGGACCATGACATCAGAGAGTTAACAAACAAAAAAGAGAGCAAAATAAACCAAAAAAAAAAATACACCAACGCTAACATGTAGAACCTAATAGATAAGCATCACTTTACAAATTAATGAGCTGTTTATGTGTGTGCATATGTGATATGTGTGTGTGTGTATTTATGACGTATCTGAAATATCATAACGGATTTTATGCATATAAGAGGCAGCATGGTGTAGCAGATATAGAGCTCGCCTAACAGCCAATAAGATCTGAGTTTGAGTTCCATATCTGACACACACTGGCTCTGAGATGCCAAGCAAGTCAGTTAAACTCTTACTGCCCTCAGAACCTCTCTAAAAGTATAAATTGAAGAGAAGGTGTTGACTTTTACTTGTGGACAGAGTTTCCTCAATAGAGTCCCTTACATCAAAGAAATCACATGTCCAGTCCCTATTTCTAACCATAACATATAGAATATATGTAAACATATACATATATATAATATTCCAAATAATTATCTAAAATATTTACCTTAAAGGACTAAATGCATATTAGCTATTAATAATTCTCATAAAATATACATAGATAATATGTAAACAAAATATATGATACAACTATACAAACACAATTCATAGAGTTGTGATGAAAGTAGTTTGTAATCCTGAGTATAAGATATTATTATTTATGTGTCTGAATACACCCTCTAAATATCATTCAGCTCCTTATGGTATGGAGTTGATGATGGGTATTTAGGACTCTGCCAAAGAAAGAAGAATAACTTGGATGCAGTTTAGTAATAATGTCTGTTGTAAAATTTGGTAAAATGTGTGTTGTCTAAGTATCAGCAACCAAAAATATCCAAGAATGGCATAGCCAAAATCCTAAGTTTCCAGGTAAAGAAAAAAAAAAATAGTGTAATCAGGCAGAGTTCACGTACAAAGAATCACAGAAGAATCATGCAAGTCTATACTGAAAATAGTGAAGAAGTCAACAAGTATCTAGTGCCTACTATGTGTCGGGCACTGTGCTATGCACTGGGGATGTATAGGCAAAAATCAGTCTCTATTCTCAAGGAGCTCACAGTCTAATAAGAGAGACAACAAGCAAACAATTATGTACAAATAAGATATGCAGAGGATTCACTGGAAAAAATCTGAGAGGGAAGGCACTAAGATTTAGAAAGACCAGAAAAGCTTCTTACAGAAGGCAGGACTTAGTTGAGACTAACAGAGGCAAGGGAAGCCAGGAGGCAGGGATAAGAAGGAAAAGAGTTCCAAGAATGAGAGACAGCCAGTGAAAATACCCAAAGTTGGTGTGTCTTGCCAGTGTCACTGGATTGTAGAATATGGAAAGGGGTATTCAGTTTAAGAAGACTGGAAAGGTAGGAAAGATCCAGATTATAAAGGACTTTAAAAGCCAAACAGAGAGCTGAAAGTAAGAGAGCCCCTGGAGTTTAGCAAATAGGAGGAAGAATGGTCAGACCTGTACTTTAGGGATATCAATTGTATAGCTAAATAGGGAGAGACTTAAAGTAGGGAGACCTATCAGACAGGTTATTCCAAGTCCAAGCATGGAAGTTAATGAGCCAGGATGGTGACAATATTAGAGGAGAAAGAGTAGCATATTCAAAAGATGTTGGGAAGGTAGAGATGACAGAATTTTGCAAATGATTATACGTGGGTCATAACAGAAATCCCATAAAAGACAGGAAATATTGAAAAAGAAAAACACTTAAAAAAACAAGAATAATTAATCTTGCAAAACTGAGTATAATCTCATTAGGGGAAAAATGCATCTTTAATAGAAGAAGGAGATCTTTCAAGCATTCCTAACATAGAGAGCAGAACTGAGTATAATCTTTGAAATACTAATGGGTATGGGGAAGTGGGGATGACAATTGTTTATTAAGCACAGGCACTGTCCTAAGCATTTTACAAATATTGCTGCATTTGATCAAATTGCAAAGACAAGAAATAAGAGAAACTTACAAAGTTAAATGCATTTGACCATTTGTATGGCCTAAAAGATGAAGTATTACATTCTAATGGAGATAGAAAAGACAAATTCCCATGTACAATTCTATAGTTTCCTTGGAAAAAAAACTCGAAGTCTGAATGTGGCTTTGTTCTGTTATATGTATGTGTGTATGTGTATATACATACATATATGCATGTGTATATATGTGTATACACATATACACACATATATATTCATTTATATCTTTTATTTTTCCACTGCAAAAATTTCTCCCAGTACCCTTTCTTTCTCCCCATCCCATGAGAGCTACAAAAAAAAGGTGAAGAGAAAAAACAAAATAACAAAATAAATTAAATTGATCCACACTTAAAATACAAGCAGACTGTCCACCCTGGCAAAAGAATCAAGAGATATGTCTTTCATTTATCTTCTTGGTGGCCATTCTTATTCTTCGTAATTTTTCACAATTCATTTTTTTATTTTTTGAAGTTATTACTTCCATTTACATCGTTGGAATCATTATGTATATTGGGTCTTTTTGGATCTGTTTACCATAAACTCTATATCAGTTCATATAAATTTTTCCATTATTCTATTTATCATATTCATTGTTTCTTACAGCACAGTAATATTTTATTACATCATGTACCAAAAATAATTTAGCTATTCCTCAATCAAAAGCATCTCTTGTTTCCAGATGCTTACTACAAAAAGTGATTATATATGTGTATTATTCAACATGTTTGTTGTTGAATGTGGGAACTACTTATTAAGGTTATCCTTGAGATATATGCCTAGAAGTGGTGCCAAGTAGTGGCATCTCTGGGTCAATGGTATGCACACATTAATTTGTATGATATACACTTCCAAATTGCTTTTCAAAATGGCTGTACTGATTGATAACTGCACAAACAATACACTAATGTGCCTCTCTTCCCATAAGCCCTCCAACATAAACTATTACCATCTTTTGTCATATTTGACAGTTTGCTGAGTGTGATAGGAAATCTTAGGATAGTTTTAATTTTTATTTTTTTCTTATTATTAGTGAATTGAATCATTCTTTCATATGATCAATAAGTTTGAAATTCTCTGGAGAACTGTTAATATCCTTTGACCATCCTTTGGAGAAAGGATGAATGAATAAAGTATTTATTAAGCACTTTCTATGTGCTAAGCACTGGAGTACAAATATAAATGTAATACTGTCCCTCCTCATAAGGAGCTCACATTCCAAAAGAAAAGACAAAATATACACAAGGTTTCAGCTCCAAGTCAGAGATAAAGTCCCAGGGTCTTAGGACACAGGGGCAAAGTAGATGGTTTTATTTCTTTTTTTAATGTCATTTACACTGATAAAAATCATTTCAGCTTCTGACATTAAAACATTTGATAGTTCCAAGGATTCTGGTGAACTTTCTTTTCTGGGTCTTCAATAGATGTGTCTATATCACGCTTAACAATAATTGCCAGGCTTCACCTCCACAAGGGTTACTGCCAAGCATGATGGCTGAGGGCACTGAGCTGGAAGCACTGCTACTCCCAAGGTTCTTGGGTTCTGGGTCCTGGGCTGTCTCCATCAGGGTTCTGAGAGGAGATAGTAGCCAAGGTAGTAGTTGTGATTTGATCTGTTTGGCACATGCTGCTTTCCAGTCTTTCCCTCAGAATGCCTTGCTGCTTCAGTTAGGCTGGCTTACCTGCCCTGTGAGTGGCAGTTTGTTAGCAGTTGATGGGGATGGCTCCTCCTTCACAAGTTTTGCTTTATAGGCAGTTGGGTGGCATAGTGAATACAGAAATGGGCCCAGAATCAGGAAGACCTGAGTTCAAATGCAGCCTGACACTTACAAGCTGCGAAACACTGGGCAAGTCACTTAAACTCCATTTGCCTCAGTTTAAACTCAGTTTCTTCCTCTTTAAAATGGGGATAATAACACTGACCTCCCTAGTTTGTTTTGAGGACCAAATAAGATAATCATTGTAAAATGCTTAAGATCACCATCTTCGGTCTGCTGTCCAGAGGATTTCAGCTACCAAGCCGTGGAAACTAGGTGACAGTACTGCACCTAGAGTCAGGAAGATATAAGTTCAAATCCAGCCTCATGCTTACTAGTGGTGTGATCCTGGGCAAGTTACTTAACCATTCTCAGTCTCAATTTCTTTATCTGTAAAATAGGGGTAATAACACTTACCTCTCAGGTTATTGTGAAGATAAATTGAGACGATATTTGTAAAGCACTCTGCAAACCTTACAGTACTAGATAAATGCTGGCTACTATCATTATATAGCTAGCTGGCAGTGTGGATTTGGGTACTGGGCCTTGGGTCAGGAAAACCTGAGTTCAAACCTGACCTAAGACATTTACTAGCTATGTGACTTTGAGCAAGTCACAATAACGCTGTCTACTGCAGTTTCCTCATTTGTAAAACGTGGGAGTAAAAGCACCTTCCTCCCAGAGTTGTGATGATTAAATGAGATATCTGTAAATCATTTAGCACAGTGCCTGCCATATAGTAGGCACTTAATAAAGGAGGTTTTTTTTTTTCCCTTCCTTTTCTGTTCAGAGGGACACTGCTATTCTTCAAGGTTCTTAGATTCAGCATCCTGGGCTATCTCCATCAGGGTAGAACTGGTAGTGGTTCCTGGCACATAGTAGGTGCTAAATAAATGTTTATTACCTAATTAACTGGTAGTTTGACTTATCTGGTAAAGAGGAAGGTGATGCTTTCTTCATAAGGAATAGTATTTTGATTATATACCTAGAGCTATTTATTTATCTAGACATATACACATATAAGAATATATGTATGTTATTTGTCTATAACTCTTATATATTAAAACTCTAAAATCATTATCAGAGAAATGTGATACAAAGATTTATTTCCATTCC